TAATAATAAAAATAAAAATAAACTTAAACAATAGATAAAATGATTATATCACAAAAAAGAACCAATCAAGATAAAAATAAATCAATGTTTCCAAAAAAATGAACAAGAATCTGTCTTTTTTTGCCTTCTAATTAGTAGAAAAGTGAATTGAGTGGATATATTGTGTAAATTCGATCATGAAGGAGATGAAATTAGTTTTTTTCTTTAAACATTTGCTTTTATGTAAATGAAATTTGGCCTGAATGATTAAAAGATTAATAACAAATCCCTTTGAAGTCAATTTTGTATTTTGTTGAAAGCCAAACAGAACATGTTTTCAGAATAAATGAAAGTTTGGAAATATTTTCGAGTCAATATAATGATAAAATTGTTGCCAGATTAGTTTGGAGTGTGGACAGAACCGAAACAAATGTGTAACAGATTCAGGAGACACATCACAGAAAGCTCAATTAGTATCTAGATCAGATTTAAATTTCTGTAAGTAAACTTTTACAGGGTAAATTCTATGAATTAGCTTGAATGACACTTCTTTAACTTTATTGTTAAGAAGGAAAACATTTGGTAAAAGCCATACGTTCCTCCAGGACACATCATCAATAAACTGGTTCCAGTATGAAACGCTAGCAGGTATAGAGGAAACCTCATTTTGAAAAAGGGACCTAATTGTTTTATTTTTGTTGTATGGAAGGGAGTTAAAACATATTTTCCCTGCAGGAGAGTGTAGAGATGTAAAAGTCATGTCTGATGACAACTGATCCTTGGTTTCTGTTTAAATAACCTGCAGAGTTTTGAGGAGATAGCACCAAATGATGATTAAAACTGTTTAAACCATCATTAAAGTGTCTGTGACATCAACACTTTGAAATAAATGTGAATGTGAAGTTGGCTTTAAAGGGTCTGTGACGTCAAAATTTAGAAACACATATGAACGCATTTTTAGAAAGAGGACATTGATAAAATATTACAAAATAAATTTCATGTCGCTGAGATGAACAGTTGTTGAGATATTTGCCTGTGAAGTAACAGGAAGTGATGTCATAGGGGAATGTCTGCATGTAAACAGTGTTGCTACAACAGCTAACAGACTGTAGAGAAGAATCTGATGTTTCTTTAAATTTAGAGTTTCTATCAAAGAGAAGAAGAGTCAGAGTTCAAATATTGTTTCAATAAACAAAGACCAGAGTTTTATTTGTTAAAGAGTTCCCCTTTGATGTCACTTCCTGTTTCACTTTAGCTGAGCCAAGTTCAACAGAAAATATAACAGTTATGGGACAAAATAGGTTAAATTGTGTGTATTATTCCAACTTTCTTAAATATAACTTAATTGACTTTTTGTTTTTGATGGATATGCATGTCACAGGCACTTTAACACATTTTTATTTAAGAAACCTTGCATAAAACATGCGATTTTACCCATTTTGTCACATAACTGGATATTCAGTTATGTTATTAGATATTCATAACTGGATATTCACTGGATATCAGAGGGATGAAGACTTAAAAAACACAGTTTCAATAAACAAAGACCAGGAAGTTCACCTTTTTAAAGAGTTCCCCTTTGATGTCACTTCCTGTTTCACTTCCTGTTTCACTTTGAGTCAAGTTCAAAAGAAAATGTACCAGTTATGTAACAAAATGGATAAAATCATGTGTGTTATGCCAAATTTCTTAAATATAAACTGTTTTCTTTGACTTTCTGTATTTAAAGGATCCATCAGACACTTTAATGTATTTATTTGTTAAATTATAATTATTTAATGTTTTTTCTTCTGGATCTAAAAACCTGATTTTCTTAACTTTTAATAGAATACAGATGTTAAATGTTTATTTAATAGAATCGTGCAGTATTTCTGCAGCCCTGAGCACTGCCTGCAGGCACAACCAGCCCCAACAGTTCCAACATGAACCTTTACAGAACTGAGCACAGAATGAAGAAATTTATTAAAGACAGAAGCAAAAAGAAAATGTCTGCAACTTCCAGGAGGAAGTGTTACAGTAAAACTGTATCAGCTGGACTTGGACCTACTGGGGTCTGAAGGGTTAAATTTCAGGAGGAGCTGCCTGACAGGCGAAGTTCGGGGAAAATAAAACGCCTATCAGCTTTAGGAACTTATAAGATGTTAACAGAACTTTAAAAGTTTTGAAAGAAAGACACTAAATTAATTTATTTCACAGAAAATATTTTATTAATATTTTGTCCAAATGATTTTAAACTGTAGATTTATGAACCGTTAATAAAAACAAATTAAGCTACTGACAAGCTGCTGCGAACACTAACTTCACGTCTTCCTCCGGTCGCAGCCGGGGTCGTTAACATGTCTTCCGGTAATTTTTAAAAATTAATCTGAGCAGCGTCTGAGGGCTGACGTCCAGCTCCACTGCAGCTCTCGCCCCATGCTGTCCTGAATCAAATTGCCATTTTGACAAACAAGCGTCAAATCGAGCAGCGAATGCCAAATGAGACGCTTTATGAATCATTTATGGCGCCGTTTGATCGGTAAGTAGAGAAAAATCAGAAACTCAGCACGGTGTTTGTGTCTGCATGCATGTGTGTGGGACACTGTTGCCACAAACGCACCACAATAATTTATTCCCCCAGCTACTTGGAGCCATTAGTGAAAGTTCCAGGAGACCAATTAGCATTGGAAACCCAGTGGTGCTGCTGTGGTGACAAGCTCCTCCAACTCACAGAGAAGTGTTATAAACAAACTGGACCCCAGGAGCTCTGAGGGGCCCCTCCAGGGACCTGGAGCCCCTTTACAAACACAAAAACAAACCCTGGCTCAGAGTCCACAAGAACGCCCTAATGACGCCTCCCCCGGGCCGCAAACGGGCCGGAACCACCGCTGGATAATGACTGAGAGGACCACCATCCAGAGACAGGACCAGGACCAGGACCAGACCAGACACCAGAGAGACAAGACAAGACTGGAGGAGAGACCAAAACCTGGACAAGACCAGACCAGACCAGACCAAGACCTGGACCAGACCAGACCAGACCAGACCAAAACCTGGACCAAGCCAGACCAAACCAGACCAGACCAAAACCTGGACCAAACCAGACCAGACCAAAACCTGGACCAGACCAGACCAGACCAAAACCTGGACCAAACCAGACCAGACCAAAACCTGGACCAGACCAGACCAAAACCAAGACCAAGCCAGACCAGACCAATCAAAACCTGGACAAAAGTAAACCAGACCAAACCAGATCAGATCAGACCAGACAAAAGACCAGACCAAAACCTCGATCAAACCAGACCAGACAAGACCAAAACCTGGACCAGAGCAGACCAGACCAGACAAAAAACCAGACCAAGACCTGGATCAAACCAGTCCAGACAAGACCAAAACCTGGACCAGAGCAGACGAGAGCAGACCAGACCAGACCAGACTAGACCAAAACCTGGACCAAACCAGACAACCAAAACCTGGACCAAACCAGACCAGACCAGACCAATACCTGGACCAAACTAGACCAGACAAAAGACCAACAGAGACCAAAAAAGATGAACTTCACACTAGACTGAAAAATTTGTTATTTTGTTTATTTTTGGATCTGAAATAAACCAAGTCAGCTCCATCCTCCTCACCTTCCTCATCCTCCTCCTCCTCATCATCCTCGCTCAGCAGCATCAGACGTGACTCCTCCCTGAGGGCGGAGCAGCACRATGTCACTCAGCTCCAGGTAACTGTGAGCTGGATGGCCCGATCGTTTTCAAAGTGCTGGAATTTCCCGGAGGCCCTGAACGCTTCGGCAGCGGTCCCACGCCTCTGCGGCCAACAGCCGCCTGGAACGCCAACTTCCTGTCTGCGAGCGCGGCAGCTGGGATTTCCTCAACGCTGCCCGAATGGTGGCCTCCATCAGCTTCAGACTTGTTGTTTTACAGAAGAGGACCCCTCAGAACCTGCTGGTATCAGGTTCTGAAGAGGACCCAAGGGGTTCCTCAGGTTCATCAGAGTTTCGTTGTTAAAGGCGAAAGGTTCAGACTCCAGCTGTCAGATAAACGTAGAATCTGTTCTTTCCTTCAGGGTTTCTGCAGACTCTCTGAGTGATTTTGTGTTTTTTTCTTTTTAATTCTGCTCTGAATTTAATTTAACACCACTTTCATCATTGTTATGAGCAGCAGGAGATCGATGCAGGAGAAAAGCTCGCCACGACCAGGCCTTGAATTATTGATCAACTGCATGAATTTCCTGGCATTTATATCATATTTTGTTGCTCTCTCCGAGCTCCATTAAACAATAATTCAAATTATTCCCATTAATGAATCATTATAAACATGGTCCTGCTGCAGGAAGTGGATCGATAAATAGACGGAAGATCAACCAATTAAAAATAAACAAAAAGATACTTTAGGTCATAAAGAGCTGCAGGGTTTGTTTTGTCAGAGCTGAAACAATAAAATCTGTAGAAACTTTTTATTGTAAAGACGAGCAGTTTATTATAAGCATCATTAGGCTCCAACAAGCTGCTGCACAACTCTAAAGCTGATCCAGGTAGACGCTGTTAAAGACGTCCTCACCTGGGACGGCCTCAGAGAGACGGGCCGGTCCCTCGCTCGTTAACGGCTGGAAACAAACATCCATCAGGGAGGAAGATGGGTAATAAACTGTCTCCATCACATAACGACCGCAGCGCACAGACAGGAGGATCATCTGGACCGTCCAGGTCTCCTGTGGTGGACTGGACCCTGGACAGACCTCCAGTCCACCACAGGACCACAGAAACAAAGTGAAACTAACTGTTATGGTAATATTTGTCTAACAAAGACAGAAATACGTGGTCCAAGAATGAAGGTACTCTGTGAGATGATCAGCTGAGTTTTATTACAACAACAGGAAACACAGAGAACAACCTGTCCTGTCTCTGTGCCTCTGCTTCTCTCTGTCACTGTCTCTCCACACTGTCCACTGTGTCTCCAGAGGCCTCATATACTGTATATATTAACAAACACCATTCTGTCATCTTAGCAAGATTTGATACAAGGTCAATGGAAAACACAAAAAAAAACACAAGTGATATCTAAGAATGACTGTTGTTAGCAGATCTTGTTCTGACTTTAATCATTCTATCTGCAGATGAACAGCATGTTATGAAAACCATAGGTCATTAAAGGATGTCATGAATTACTTGCTTGAATATAAAAGTATTAGTTCTATTACACTAACTAAAACAGGGCTGTTCAACTGGCAGCCTGACCAAAGTTAGTAACCAAAGTTAGTAACCAAAGTTAGTGAACAAAGTTAGTGAACAAAGTTTGGCCCGCCAACTGGTTCATTCATCTCTTCAGCCCAGACCTCTGGTTTTCTATTTTAATTACTCTAAGTTGTTTTAGTTAGACAGATGTATTTATCTACAGAAACATCAGAATCTTGGCTACAAGCTGGTAAAAACATTTCTATGAACATCTAAGACAGTCAAAACTAAAAGCAGTTGAAGATGAAAGTGAAACTTTAGTTTCACTATGAAAGTGAAAATAAAATTGGTTTAAAAATTTGTCAAATCAGAGATGTTAAAATATTATTTGTGGTAAATAAGAGGAATAATGTGTTCTTTTTGTTTTTGATATTGTTTAATAATCACTACTTTTATAGGGTTCTGTATGTTGTATTCATGATTAAATACAGCAAAATAAACTATTTTAAAGGTAACAGATCTTTGTAATACTTGGTTTATTTACAGAATAACTCTAATTGCACCAAGTACCTTGGTGTTGTTTGACACAAATTTTACTTTTAAGCAACATTAAGGATCTACTAATGTAATAAAATTCAACTCAGCCAATTCTCATCACATCAGACCTTTTCTCACCACACACACAGCTAAAATATATATGCATGCAATGATCTTTTCTCATACTTCTTATTGTCTTACAACTTGGTCCYACATAACAGCAAATGTGTTAAAACCATCAAGTCTCTTTTCAAAAAGACAATTAAAGTTCTTGACAGACAACCTAATGTTCATTACTGTAAAATCATTGATAAATACAAGACCTTGGACTTTGAAAATGATCAAAGATTCAGTGATTTAAGTCTTGTTTTTAGGGTCTTAAATGGACGAGCTCCTACACCTTTAAACTGTTTTATCCACAAATATACATCCAGAATAAATACCAGGTCTCAGACTAATGGACTGTGTTGTTGGAAAACAGAGAACAGAGTTTGTTTGAAAGGTCTGTCAGAGGAACTCATGGAATGATCTACCTGCAAATATCASAGACTGTGATGGTCGTTCCATTTTTAAAATAAAATAAGTCATCTGTAACATAATTTAACTGTGTACCTTGTAGACTGAGGAGTTTGTGTGTTTGTTAGTGTTGAATTTTGTCTGTTTTGTGCACTTGTTTTGTGCACTTGTTTTATGAACGGTTACCTTTTTATCTGCTCAGGACTACAGATGAAATTTAGCTGTTGTGCTAATTCCGGCGCATTTATATTCACAGAATATTGATTAATGTGCATTGTCCTTTTACACAAATAAATGAAAGAAATTAAATGAAACTGCTGGATGTTCGGCCCCTGACCTGCAGTAACTGTGGCCCCCCGGAGCAGTTTAGTTGGATAAACCTGAACTAAAAGAATTATTCTGTAGTTTGAAACAAAAGAAAGAAAAATTAAATTAAAATAATTCAGAAAAGATTCTGAACCAGTTCAGGATCTTTAAACCAGTTTGACACCAGAGTCTGAAGCATTTGATTTGATCGTGAGGAGCGCGCGCGCACGCACACACACACACACACACGCGCGCGCTCAGACCTCGGCTCTGAGTGTGTGTCTGTCCCATTTTCACCCCGAACACACAGCGGTTGAAGCGGTGGAAGCGTCACGCCGCAGACGGCGGCAGAGACACGCAGGGCAGCAGACGTGTTGATTGGTGCGACGAACAACGAAGCCACAGACAGCTGCGCCTCTTCTCTCGCTTCGTCCACAAACAAGAAAACTACAAACAGATGTTGTCGGCGCTTCCTCTGCTGTTTTTAACATCTCATTACAGCATGGTGGGCGGAGCCTCACCTGTCGCCGTGACAAATAAATAAAACTGTCCAATATATTTGTCTTGTTCTGTTTGGTTCCAGAAAAAATGTCTGATCTGATCCTGGACTTCATCATCATCATCATCATCATCATCATCATCATCATCATCAGTGTGGACACACAATCTGTCCACAACTTTAGGTTCGTGAGTTCAACAAAAAACACAACTAGGACCAAAAACCAGTTCTGGACACACAACACCTGATGGTTGTTTTCTACAGGTGAGCCATGTGTCTGTGTACGTACTACAGACAGGTACAGCTACAGCTACAGGTACAGGTAAAGGTACAGCTACAGGTACAGGTAAAGGTACAGGTACAGCTACAGCTACAGGTACAGGTAAAGGTACAGCTACAGGTACAGGTAAAGGTACAGCTACAGGTACAGGTAAAGGTACAGGTACAGCTACAGCTACAGGTACAGATACAGGTACAGGTACAG